ACCAACACCAACACCAAAACCAACAACAACAACAACAACAACAACAACAATAACCATAACAACAATAACCATAACAACAACAACAACAACAACAACAACAACAGCAACAGCAACAGCAACAACAAAAACAACAGCAACAACAACAACAAACGACCACAACCACGAGCTCTGTCAGGATTGGTCTCACTACTTTGTGTTTCGCTCAGGCTTTTGGTTTAAAGCTGATGGCTGCTGACCAGAGTCCAAGAGCCTTTCACATGGGCGCAGCAGGACGGTCTGGTGGACTTCTTGGGCTCGTGAACGCAAAGTAAGCAGATCGGGATCAGGAAGGTGACTATGAGCAGGCACATTGTCATGAAGCCACTGAAGGAGAGGCCCCAGTCAAAGGTACCGAGATATTCCTTTCCATTCATGAAGACCCCAACAGCTGCTGAGGAAACAAGGGAGCCTGCCATAGTCACCATTGTGAACTCGGCCTTCATCTTCCCACGGCACTCCAAAGGCTCCTTTTGAGAGTACTCAAGTAGGAGGCCCTCACCAGCCACAACTCCCAGCTGAACACCTGCAGTAAGGATGAAGAGTGGGAAGACATACCAGTTCTTCTCGTCATGGATGCTGGGGTTGCATGGTGGTGACATCACGTCGTAGCTGCCATCGTCCTTTTGGCAGTAGTAGGGCGCAGGCAGGGGCCGCAGGCTCATGATCAACAGGGCACTGCCACAGATGATCCAGGATGCCACGAAATACGGCTTTCTGTTGTAGCCCAATATCGGCAGGCAGTCGTTCATCATGCCAAAAGGAAGAAGCAACACTTGTGGAAGCTTCATAAGCGCTTGGATGGACAGCAAAACATACGCATCCAACCCCATGTATCCAAGGAAGAAGCCGTAGACCAGGCTGGATGAAGCCTTACTTGTCCGGAATCGAAGAAAACCACTGGGGGCTATATCAAAGTAGTAACGCCCAAAACCCCCTAAACCCAAAAAGCCTGAAGCTTCCGAGAAGCCGAGTTTAGGAAGGCAAGGAAGAAGCCCCCGAGAGGGAGGCCACAGGTACCCCAGGTCCAAATGCTGAGGCACCTGCTGCACGGAGCCTCCTCAGTGGTGTCTCCGTGTGAGGCTCTTTAAGCTAAGGGGCAGTCTTGTGATCTTGGAAACATGGGTCCTAACCTCCCCGAGCAGCGTCGTACATATCAAGGCCAAGAGGTTCAAACATGGCAACAGGAGTAAAGTGAGGTAAACTCGTGAGAGTACGTTTCGATGCACCAAAGAATCAGAGCAGGACAGATTTGTTACAGAAAGCGTGCCACAGCAATGATGTCCAAACGCTTTTCATGTCGGGCACCGACAAACTAGAACTAGGTGTAGAGCACCAGCCAATGTTAGCGGCTGTCGGGACTCCTTGTCAGCCCTTGAGACAAGACTACAGCAGCATTCGTTGAGTCCCGTTTAGGGATCCCACAACAGAACGAAACCCCGGTATCGTTCACTGAGCTCCTGGATCCGGTTCTCAACGTCTGGCTTGGAGAGTTGGAAGGCTCCGGTGCTCACGTTGCTCGAGACCGCCTCTGCGCACGGCATGGGGGTCCTGGCTGGCAGGGTAACCACAGCAAAACGAGGAGGATCCGCAATCTTGCCCAAGAACAAAAGGAATGCGTCATGACATCGGAAAATGTGAAGCATCATCGATCAGAGCCCAGCCGCTTCGATTAAACTACGATTATGCAGAATCACAAACAGCAGCGACATGCAGCCAGCATACGTCGTTGAAAACCCTCAAAAATTTCAACAATACCCTTTTTGAAGCTGGATCTCGCGGATGTGCCAGAAGTAACAACACCCGAGACCCTGTCAAACCCCCCCAACAGCAGGTAAACTTATGGCCCCAACAGCTGTAAAACGGCTATTCTTCTACATACTCTTTTGGGGTCCAGGTAAACCCCAAACGAAGCAGAACTGACCCATAGGGCTCCCGGTGTCTGAAGGCGATGTGTGGCAGTCGCTGGACAGCGACTCCTCGTGGGGTATCGGTCCCGAGGAGTTGGGGTGCAGAGTTTAGGGTTCAGGGTTTGAAGCAGTTTAGGGTCTAAGTCGGCTGTCGGAGGTGTATGGGGTGGAGGGTTGTAGAGGTTTGTGATTTTGGCTCCTCATCCGTGAACTGAACAAGCACGCCGGTCGGCATCGCTATGCTCAGTTCTTTGGCCGATCTCACTCCTACTCCTCGGCAAACACTCCCTGGAGCCAGCGGCGTTTAGGGGTTTAGGCATGGCAGAGCTGGACTTGCATGACATTGTGTGGTCAATATGGGCTGCTCTGTTTCAACACGCAACATCCACGGACCTCCCCTGCGAAATTGGGGGCCCAACATCCCCGACTCCGAACTTGCGACATGCCCCATGTTGATACTGAAGGCGGAAACTCAAATCTAGGCATGGCGCGAAGACAAGTGCCGGAAGCAAAAGTAGCTACTGTATGTGCATCTTGGCACATGCTGATTGGGCCTGTAGACACTCAAGGGCATGGTGCCTACTGGCACTGAGGCTGAACCTCTTTCATGCCTGCTTCGGGCGGCGTTCGACAAGACACCCAAGTACGCATCAACATGTGCCCACGGTCCACCCAACCCTCTCGAACCACATAAGCCTCAAGATTTGGACAGGCCCTTCGACAGAGCTATTGTGCCTGGCGATCTCAAAGGATGGACATGTGGATTTCGTTGAAGCCTCATGGCGATTCTGTTCAAGAGCAACTGTATGGATGGGTGGAGCACCCAAGCCAGCGAAGGCAACCTCTTTCTCCAATCGACTGCCTTCTTGCCAACTTCAGAGAAACCGTCCCCGGCGCTGCTGCAGTCCCTAAGAAGGCATCATCCACTCTTCGGCGCCGGCGTTGGGCGCCAAAGGGATGGTGAGTATAAAGAAGCTGGCCTGAATGCCATTTTTAGGGCCCTTGAGGCTTCTTGCAAACGGTCTACGGTTCAGAGTTATGGGTGGGTCCTCTGGTTTAAGCAAGACGTCTCTGATCTTCGCCTGATTTGTGTTACTGCTTGGCTCCATGCATCTCACGCCGGGCGTGAGGGCTCCAGTTCCCCGGTTCCCGGAAAAGCCAAATAAGAAAGCGCTTGGGGTTTAAGTTTAAGGTGTAGGGTTTAGGGTTAGGGGCCTGGAGAAACGGAATAGGGTTTTGGGATGTTTTGGGGTATACTGTATGTAGTACAGTTATAGTACGGAACCCCAAGGAATAATCTTGGCCATTGTTCAGGCCCCTGCAGCACCCTGCTTGGGATTCATACGGTCAGTACAGAGTGCCGGTACCATACCGTTCGACACGAGTGACTTGCATGACCCTGGGGGGACCACGGAAGGGGATGGCGGGTAATTGTAGGAGTAATACTAATAATGGTAGTAATAGGTTTTTGTCACCCATTAGTAGCAGCGGTAATACTTGCAGCAGTTATAATACTAATAGTAGTGCTAACAAGCGTCGTAGTAGTAGTAATAGTAACGATAGTAGCGGTAGTAGTGGTGATGGCAGTAGTACCAGTAGCAGTACAAGTACTACAGTAGTACTAGCAGTAGGAGCAATCGCAACTCGAGGTGGGAGACTGCCGAGGTCCTGGACTCCTAAACACCGTATACTACTACTGTACTATGATAACATATAATGTAGTCGAATGTACAAAAATATAATATATACATATACATATATATTAGAACAGGGTAGAATCACATAATTTGTGTCGCAACTTCACCACAAAAGAAGCCTCGTCTCTACACCATGTTCCAGTTGTCTGCTGCTGAGATGCGACCAAAGCCAAGGCAAGACGACAAATGAAGCGCTGCAGTCGGTTGCCTGGCAGCATGGGTCACAAGAGATGTTCGAGAGCAGAGCAGCAGATTCTTCAAACTTTCGTCAGCTTGCTGCCGAGTTCCTTGCATTGCCTTTCCTGCCCTAAGCTCCAGCTGAAACAGGGTGATGACTCGTATCGCCAATGCCAGCATCACCAGTTGCACGTCCGAGTGCAAAAAAATATACGATTTCTTCATGTCCTCAGCTTCTCAGAGAAAAACCTGGCAAAGAGATCTGCTCCCTGCTGCACGGAAGAGCATTCCTGGCTCTTCCTCCGATTCTGCCATGTTCCTCACACTTTGTATCCTTCGGAGCTTGGGGTTCCAGGGCGTTTTTAAGCTTTGTCACAGGGTTTCTGACCAGGTTTAGGGTTTAACGGATATCATTGCCAATAGGTGAAGCCGCGCAGCTGCCAAGAATGTGGTCAAGCCCGTCACGGTGCCAAACACACCTACAGACTTTCCGTGTGAACCGGGCAGTTGACAGCCTCAGCTCGACTGTCATCAGTAAACCTGGGAAGCCATCAGACCACATCAGACTGAGTACAGTGCAGACTGTTGGTGGGGGTTGTATGGCTAAGGGTTTAGGGTTAGGGCACAAGATGCTGCAACCTCTTCAACATTGATGGAACGCTATGAACCGTAGCCGACCGGCACGTAGCCGACAAACTAGTGGAAACTCTATTTTGCCCCAATCTAGAAGGCCTAAACAAGTTCCAATACCATGAAAGCTTTGAGGAACTATCCGGCCAGGACACTGACCCCTTTCTTCTGCAGGAAGCCGTCGCAAACCGCCTGCCTCACGGGCCTCGGCATGAAATCCGGCTCTGCCCGGAGACTCTGAGTTAGGGTTTAGGATTTAGGATTTAGGGTTTAGGGTTTAGGCAGGGCCTTCACACTTGCAGGAGACGATTCGAAGGTCAGAAGGGTGAGGAGCGAATTTGGGTCAATTAGGAGCGATCGATTGCCTCGTTGTACCTCTACATTCTCATGTGCGTGATGATCCGTAAAGCATGCAAAGATAGCCCGTGTTGCTGGCCTGATCACTAAACAAACCTTCTTGCCGCGCCCTGGAGCCTTCGCGTTGCACTACAGTTATTTCATGCTGCAGCATTTTTTTGGCTCAGGTCCCATGCCTCGGCATACATAGGCTTTTAGGGGGTCATCAAAATCATGATGTGGACGTCAAACTTCAATCGATTCCACAGCACAGCCAAAGAATCCCCTGAACAATATCCTGGGGTTCGAGTGGAGCGTAAAGCCTGCGATTTCAAAAACCGATGGGCCTGACTCACACTTTCATGCCTCGGACAATGGGCTTTTCATGCAAGGCCTGAGCCTGCCGGACTGTTCAGCTTCGTGGGCAGTTTGACGAACAGTCTTGCGAGGTCTGCATTGTCCCAGAATCATCCGATTCCGATTCGTTCCGTGAGGTGTGCTCTGCATGGGAGTTAGTATAGCTTACAATCTTCTCCTGCAGCCCCAGGGGTCGGCCATCGAAGTCCAAGCAATGGAATTGCAGCCCAGCCAACGGGCCACAAGCACAGGGGATAATGCACGTGGAATCTTCTAGCTGTTGCTTTTCACATAAGGGCAGCGCCTTTCCAAGCAACCTTGCTAAGTTGTAGCACTTCTTACAGGAGCTCCTGCTCAACAACGGCTTGTGACAAAGGTCAAGGGACTTTGGCTACGGCGTCTGACAAGTAGGACACTTGGGTCGCTCTTGCATGATGACAATTGTGGCCACCATCGCCGCTCAAGGTCACCAATGGCAGTCGTCGCACGACAACGGCTCTCTGCTGTGACTCCAGCTGTGGCTAGCTCTGTGGAGCTGACGTAAAACAAGACCGAGGGAAGGAACCTTCAGGCAACGAGGGAGGAGGGGGGTCTTCCAACAGACGAAGAAGATCACCGCCAGACACGTCCGACAAGTTACGCGGATCTGGCATGGCATTCGAGGCTTAACAGCACTGTGCAGGCTGTTCGGTAAGGGCCGTAGTTACGAATGACCCTTCAGAAAGCAGCATCCCCAATCAGAGAGCACCTAGATGACCATCGAGGCTACCGCCCATGTACTCATGTTTAAACTTACATCCAAATTCTAAGCTCTGAGCCCCTAACCCAAAAACCTGCACACCCCTGACTAGCCCCAACCCTTCAATTCCGAGGACCCACTCCTAAGACCCCAGAGTCTTAGAGCTTTCGAGTCCTTCATCTCCGGAGAGCTCTGCAACTCCAACTCCCCAGGACTATCAGCCCAAGTAGCGGCTCGAGTCCCTCAAAGAGGTAGATAGGCAAGATCCGCTCTACCTTATGGGGTTGAGATTTGTTCGTGTGACTGATGGTTTAGTATCGACGGATTCCGGTTCATGATTTTTCTCCCTCCTACTTAGCAAGGACGGACGAGCCCCACATTGCAGGGTATTTAGTATTCAACTTTTAGGGTTCTGCATGTCGATCGTGTCTTTCTAGGTGCTCTGCAGCTGTCTCTTGAACAATTGGGAAGAAAAAGTCAAAAGAAACTGGAGCCGGCATATGATGTCCAACTTGCGTATGACGTGTTTTGAGTCAGCGAAGGGATTCTAGCTCTCTCGGCTTTCGGCGGCAGTGACCCGTGTCAGCAATGACCATCGTAACAGTAGCAGTGGTAGTCGTCATCAGAACGTACGGTACTTTGCTGCACTTGGTATTGTTCATCATTGTGGTTGTCGTCTCTGGCGTCGTCGAACGGGTCTACTATGTAGTGGCGGAAGGGTAAGCGGATGAGTGGTCCTTGTGGTGGTGGTGATTGTAGCGCATTCCCACAACATATATGGTAGCAACCGTCATAAACAACACGAGTGTCATCATTGGCTTTCAATATGGCCAAATCTGTTCGTAAATAGCTTGCTCTGCCATACGATTCTTCTTGAGGAGTGTGCGGAACAACGTTCACAGAGTTCACAAGGTGTAAAGGGCACCCAAAACAACAGGGACCCTGTGTTGGGAGGCCGAATCATCTAAGGCCGAGATTGGCACCCCGGCTTCGCCTCCCCAATAGCTCCCGAACCCAAGGTACCGTGTAGAAGGACGGCGAGAGTATGAAGATGACCCATCCTGACGGCTCGGCCCGCTGAATTCCCAAATGCCCCAAATCATATCCGGCCCCATATACACATACACATGAAAGCTAAACATGCCCTTAAACCACCAAAGCCCCAAACAAAAACAGAAAGCCTTGAAACCCCCAACAGCACAAAAACTCCCAAACCCTGGCATGCCTACGCTCGGAGTGGAATAAGTCCTACCGGCCCAAAATCTGCCACCCCCCCTTGTGCATCAGCAACGCTATCCCCATATAAAGGACCGGGGGGCTGAGTAAGTTTAGGGTTTAGGGTTTTGGGCTTTTAGGGTTTCGGGTTTAGGGGTTTAGGGAAGTAGGCCTATACATGAGGTAAGGAACACTTACTGTTTTATCTACTCGTAAGAGCAACGACAATAGAGGCAACCCTATTTTTTCATCCCATGAACCACCGCGGAGTCTTTATGGATGTATTGAGTTGTCCGAATTATCCGTGAAATTCTGCACTATTACCTGCCTCAAAACCCTTTCGAACTGTTCAGGTGCCTTGTTTCTTCCGAGCCGCCTAGGGCCTAGCTGCCTAGCTCCAACAACATGTTACAGACACCTCGGGAAAGCTGAAATACGTTCGAAAAGACTCAGGGCTACGAATCAAGATTTGTCTCCCACTGAAGAGATGGAGAGAGTGCGACACACACACACACACAGACTGATCGCGGGACGCCACGGCGAGCGGACTTGAAAAGCCTGCCCAACATGTCAAACTCTTTGCTAACTTGACGACTTGCGTGCTGGTGTCTCGTCTTGGTACCTGTGTACTGCAGTAGCTTTATGCTCAGGTCTTCGAAGTATCGAACTTTCCCGGCCTATGCCGTAAAGCGCGCTCTGCACCTCTCCGAAAGCGATGAGGTCCACACCGGAACACAGCTGAGCGACCACGAGTAGCAGCCTAAGGTCAAGAACCTACTGCTTCGGTCTGTTTAAGCGAATCCTAAGACTAGAATCCAACCCGAAATCGTTAAATTCTAAACCCATAGCCGCAACCCTGATGCCTGGACCCGTCTTTCCCATCGTTGTCATCCCTTTGACCCAGAACTCTTTTTTGGGCGGGCCTCCGGGAGGCCATGATGTATCGTGCGCTACGTCGCTAGATGGTCTTTGAGAGTTCAGGATGCTGAATCAAGATAAGATGAACATTAAGCGCATGACCGCCTAAATCTGTCAATGCCTGTGTGAAGGACAACCGCTGGCCAAAATATATATATATATATATGTGTGTGTGTGTGTGTGTGTGTATATATATATATATATATACGTTTATAGATTTATCAACACCTAGGTAACCCTGAGCTTGCTGCAGGCAGTGGGCGCTTCCATCTGCAGTTTTGACACAAGTGAACATGCCCATGCACCACATGAAAATGTGCCTTCCTTCGCGCACTGTTTGCTTGTTGTTCGTATAAGCTGTATGATGCCATGTTTTACTTCATTTCCCGAAGCCCTCATGTACACCTTAACCAGCAAGCCAGCCCGCCACTCGATAGGGGCCCCAAAAAACATAAACAACATCCACGAGAGCGTGACATCCCATGACCCTCTCTTTCACAAGCCAAAATCTCATGTTTCTGCTGCTTCTTCCTCATTCAAGCCCTTTTTTACATCAGGGCTTGTGCAATCGCCGGAATGTCTCTTCAAGCCCTAAGCCCCTAAGCCCTACACGCATAAGCCCTAAACTAATCCCTAAAAACCCTCTAACTAACCCTCAGCCATTCTAAGCAGCATGATGGTCACTGTGGCCGTGCTGGGGCTCGTGAGGTTCACGGAGAGGAAGAAGGAAAGGCCGTAAGCCAAGTAGCACTGCCTTAGCGGTGGAAGGTGTTTAGTGTTTAAGTTTAAGGCTTTGCCGCTGCAGGGTACAAAGTAGGGGGCAACGGGTAGAGCAGCTCAAGTCTGATGGGGAGACGGCTTTCAAACCTGAGATGGGTTGGAGATGTGCCAAGCTGGAATAGTCGTCATGAGGTGGCAAGAGTCCTATTCCCAACATGCTAGACCCTAGGCTCAAATCTACACCCTTTTTTGAGCAGGGTCTGCAGCGCGCATTGACCTGATCCTTCAGCTGCCGCAATTTTTGCGATGGCTCACCGTAAACCCTAAAAAAACCTAAATCCCTTAACCCCAAACCCAAAAAAAACCCAAATCCCACACCATTAGGATCGAGAATGCCCAAGCTGCGCTACTGCTAAGCGAAGCAGGGTCCAAGGGCTTGCCACGACCTTCGAGAAGGGCCCGTAAATGCCTGACGTGCGAGTTGAGGACAGGTGCCAACATGTCGTGCTACTCCAGCTATGTATAGTTCTGTGTCTTTTGTTTTTGTTTCTGTGATTATTTTTTCTCTCTCTCTCTCTCTCGCTCGCTCTGTCTCTCT